AAAAAAAAAAAAAAAAAAAGAAAAGAAAGAAGAGCGAGAGAGAGAGAGAGAAAGAAGGATTCCTAGTCTTGGACTGGGGTTTCCTGGAGTGGGAAACCAGGACTTGAGTCTCCTTTTGGCAGACTCCAGGTAGGACCCCTCCCTCAAGCCCTGCAAATCCTGAGACCCTTCTCCAGAAGCTCTTTCCAGGGCCTTAGTCCAGCTGGAGCCCAGGTGGTTTAAATACCTGTCCAAAAAGTCTGGCTTTACCTCATAGCAATGGGTAGCTACTAAGGTTCTAGAGCAGGGACATGACCTGTACATTTTATGGGGAGGCAGTGGCTCATGCCTGTAATCACAGAACTTTGGGAGGCCAAGGTGGGCGGATCATCTGAAATCAGGCGTTGGAGACCAGACTGACCAACATGGCAAAGTCTGCCTCTACTAAAAATACAAAAATTAGCTGGGCATGGTGGCACACACCTGTAATCCCAGCTACTTGGGAGGCTAAGGCATGAGCATCCCTTGAACCCGGGAGGCAGAGATTGCAGTGAGTAGGCATCGCCTGCACTCCAGCTTGGGCAACAGAGCCAGACTCTGTCTCAAAAAAAACAACAAACAAAAAACGTCTATTATGGTCTGGGGTGAAAAGGATGGACAGAGAGGGAGGGACTTGATGAGTGACCTGTTAGGAGCCTCTCATCTCGGCAAGAGTCAAAGAAGCGATTAAGTCTTGGTGAATGACTATGTGATTCTGTCATGGCGTTCTGGCCTGAACTGCGTGAAGGAGGGGCCACATGGCCAAATGCCTCCAGAGGGTTAGGGAGGCTAGCACCTGGGGAGCAAGGTACACTGGATTCAGCAATGAGAAGGCTGCTGGTAAACTGGACAGGTGTATTGAGGGCAACAGGCAGTCTGGTTAAGGAAGGGAGGGGAGAGGTGGAGGGACTGAGTAGTGTGTTTAGAAGCTGGGGGTGGGAAGTAAGGGGAGAGAAGACAGTGTGAGGGGGCACTGATGGAGCCAGGACTCACATTCCAGGCTGGAGGAGCTAGGGTAGATGCTCAGAACTAGCTGCTCCAGGCTGGGCGCGGTGGCTCATGCCTATAATCCCCGCACTTTGGGAGGCTGAGGCGGGCAGATCACTTGAGGTCAGGAGTTCAAGACCAGCCTGGCCCACATAGTGGAATCCGATTTGTACTAAAAACTAGCCAGGTATGGTGGTAGATGCCTGTAATCCCAGCGACTCAGGAGCCTGAGCCAGGACGATGGCTTGAACCCGCGAGGCGGAAGTTGCAGTGAGCCGAGATTGCACCCCTGCACTGCAGCCACAGCCTAGGGGATAGAGCAATACCCTGTCTGAAAAATTTTTTTTTTAAAAAGCTCCTTGCAGGTCCCATGTTTTTCACAAGGGCTCAGAGGTGCCTCTCTAAAGCCCGATGTCACCCACTTCAGATGCAGAAAATCCTCGATTTTTGGAAGCAGAGACTCACGGAATGGAAACTATTAGGAATCTGATCTAGACTCACAATCTGAATTCAGAACCTTCAGGATTGAATTAATTAAGAATTGAATTGCCTCAGCCCCCCAAGTAGCTGGGATTACAGGAGTGCACCACCATACATGGCTAATTTTTATAGATGGGGGTTTCACTATGTGGGCCAGGCTGGTCTTGAACTCCTGACCTCAGAAATGAATTGCCCTGTGTTCTGCCCCCAAAGTCTTTTGGCTTTTGATTGAATATAATTCAGAATTGAATTGCACAACTGAATTGTAGCCTTTTTTTTTTGAGATGGAGTCTGGCCTTCTTGCCCAGGCTAGAGTGCAGTGGCTCGATCTTGGCTCACTGCAACCTCTGCCTCCCAGGTTCAAGTGATTCTCCTGCCTCAGCCTCCAAAGCAGCTGGGAGTAGCTAGGATCAGAAGTACCTACCACCACACGCAGCTAATTTTTTGTTTTAGCAGAGATGGGGTTTCACCATGTTGGCCAGACTGGTCTTGAACTCCTGACCTTAGGTGATCCACCTGCCTCAGCCTCCTGAAGTGCTGGGATTAAAGGCGTGAGCCACTGCACGGGGCTGTAGACTCTTATGATCCCTGAATAAGGACACTCAGCTTGGTGGGATTTTAGAACTTTTGACAGAACTGCAATCACTGCCTGAAAGAAACGCACCCTTAGACTCCCAGAAGCCTGGATGAATGGTGCATGCCTGAACCCTGGAACGGGCTGAAAAGCACGTGAGATTTATGATACTTTGTCCTCCTGGCCCTTGGGATCTCCCCAATGTCCTTCTTGGCCTAGGGCGAAGAGCTCCCAGCAGCAGCAAGGCTAAGCTGATAGGAGAGCGGAGGTGGAGGGAAGGAGAAAGGACCAAACGACCATAAAGAGCGTGGTTGTGGGGTAGACAGGCCATCGTGGCCCTAGACCTTGGCTGTGCCCGGTGCGATCTCCTCCATCCACTCCTGCTGCTTCTGGTTAGCTGCAGCCCTGAACCTCGTGCGCGACGCAGAGAGCAAGGACATCGCGCCCTTGGAGTGGTTCCCAGAGCCTGTAATTCTGCAGGACGCAGACTTGCAGCCGATCCACGGCCGGCCATCCTGCCCCGCGCAGCCCCCCAGCTTTGTCGTGGGCGGCCGGCGACCACCGGTGGGAGGCCAGGCCGAAACACGTGCACCCAGAGCTGCTGCTGCTCCTCCTAGGGACCTCTCCTGGATAACTGCGGAGGAAGCGCGGCGACGGACCCGGGCTGGTGCAGCAGGACACGCCGAGCCGCGGGCTAGCCGACGGCGTGGAGCGCTATCGCGGCCAGCTGCCCCGGGCGTCGCCGCGCTGCCGCTGCCAGCCCTGCCAGCCCGGCAGCGCAACGCCAGTGGCGGCTCCCGGCAGCCGCAGGGGACAACGCACGTTCTGCGCAGCTGTCTGGACTTCGCCTCGTGCCGCCTCACGTCGGTCTGGGTAGGCCTGGGCCCTCTGTTCTGGCCCCGCCGAATGCACCACACGACAGCCCGCGGCGCTCGGCATGACCCGCCGGCTTGCGCAGACCAAGCTCATCAAGCTGCTGGCTTGGCATTACTGGTTGAGGGCCCGGCTGCCGCCAGGCTGCGCACATCCCCTGCAGCAGAGCTCCTGGCGCCACGTGCCCTACCCGGTGGTGGCGGACTGCAAATGATCCTGCCGCGAATGTAGCCACAGCTACCCCAGCCAGGCTGCCTTCCACCCTCACACCGGCCCCCCACCCCTGGACCCCAGCAGCAAGGTCCTCCGGATCGCAGGCTAGGATTCCCTGAATCCCAGCTTTCACATCCCGCTCGGTTTGAAACAACTCATGTTGTTTATCCAGGGCTGGCTGGAGGTGCAGTAGGTTTAGATTCCTGTCGTGAATGATAAAGGGCCTTTTCATCCTCTCCCCCAAGCAAACTACAAGCTTCCCAAGGCCACACCACGCTGAGGCTGGAGTTGCGGGTGACTCAGACACTCCTCCCCACCCCACAG